ATATACATATACATATACATATACATATACATATACATATACATATACATATACATATACATATACATGTACATGTACATATAAATTTCAAACTAATATGTTCGTGCGGTCGGGACTTCAAGTATCTTGCCTGGCTTTCCGACATCTTGAAGATTAAGATAAAATTGTACGAATTTAGATAATTGTTTTATATATAAAAACTTATCCGACCAGCTGTTTTATATATTTTTTGGAATTTATAAAAAATAAAGAACAAATAAAAGGTTTCTATTTAGAAGGCTAATTGAATATGTTCTATTTCACTTTTCAGAAGGCTATGACGCTAAATATGTAAGGCTATTTTCATGAATGAGTACAGGCACCGTCTTTTTTTGGTGGCCAACTGGCCATGCTTGAAGCGGTGATGCGAGCAACAGATACACACACATGTAAATATATTGTAAAAGAAGCATGGCCCTCTGGATTTTGTTTCTTCCGACGACAATCGTAAATTTAGCGCAGACTCAAATCCAGAGGGCCATGAAAAGAAGACTAAATCTTTTGGAAAAGAAGGCAATGTATTTTGAAAAAAATAGAAAATAACCGCCATCTGGCCCGACAAGGCCTCGACCAAATTTAGGCATGTGGAAGGGCATTCCAGCGATTCCATCAATATAGTAGTGCAATTTTGGTGGGGGTTAGAAATTCGAAAATATTTTTTGTGTGCTGTTCATAGCCTTCTATATTAATGACAAAGGCTATGCATAGACTACTAAACAGGAAACAGAACTGCCTATGTCCTGTTTATATTCCTCGACGTCAGCCTTGTATTCATAAAAATGTATATGTTTTCCAGCAATATTTCGTATATATACAGTATACAACTTGTGCACATCTTCACTCCTCCAACAGCTTACAAGCCAAAAGGTTAAGAACATTATATTCAACGTCAAAATGTCAATGAAAGAAGAAGACCGCACAAGCATGAATATGGTGGAAACACGCACAGTCGCACCAGCAATGCAACCAGTGATGATGGTCCCTAAAGGACCGGCTAATGCTGGACCCATTGGTCTCATGGGCTTCGGTATGACTACTGTTTTGCTGAACTTCTACAATGCTGGTATCGCAGAATCAGGTACCGTTGGACTCATTGCGTGCTACGGTATCTTTCACGGTGGACTCGCTCAGCTTCTGGCTGGCATGTGGGAGGTATGCAAGTCTGTCAAAAGCGCTGGGCGTTTATAATACCCGTTGTACCCTCTTGTACATTGTTGCTCGTCGTAGTGTAAGAGCTTCCTAAATTCCCAAGTCTGATCGTCCTTCAACATAGCCGAGGTTGTGTTCCCCGTAAACACTTTTTCTTCACTTTGCGTTGAATAGGAGCCCCGTTTGGTTGACTAGACACTTTTATCCTGAATTGCAAATTTTTCCTTCGTTCGAATCCTGACAATTCCTCTCATTTCTAATTTAGATTTCCGCCGGCAAGGTCTTCACCGGGACCGCTTTCACTACATACGGTGCATTCTGGCTGGGACTCGGTCTGTTCGACTTGCTTATAGTAACCGGGCATTTAGAGCCAGGAGACATCAGTGAAGGCAAGTGTATCTGGCTGTGCATCTGGGGTGTCTTCACCTTTTTGATGTTCCTTGGCACATTCCGAGCCAATCGAACTGTACAGTTTGTATTCCTATCGCTGTCTTTGTTGTTCTTCCTGCTTGCGGGTGGCGTGTACAACGAGGGAGTGCACAAGGCTGCGGGTGTGGTAGGTATTGCCTGTGGTGCCTCAGCCATGTATCTGGGCTGGGCTGAGATCATGAATGAGGTGTACCAGCGCGAGATGATCCCTATTTTCAAAATTAAATGGGAGTAAAGAACTTAAAGATTAGATATATAACAATCCAGAAGTAGATAATCGCAGGACGGCCTGTGGCTGCCGGCGACCTTGTATGCCCACGAGGAGCGAGAAACTAATACTAATATCAAAGTATTTCAAGCAATCAAGAATAGGGAATTAAATAAATACCAATACATACCGATATCTTGTATACAGTTTACCTGTGCATGTGTAAGACTGGAGTGTGTTAAAAATTTGGGATCTGCTCTCTGACTCTCTAGAGGGAGGCCCACGCTATGCCGTATCGGCCTCTTACGAGTTGTAGTTACAACTCAAACTGCAAAGAAGGCAAAATGTACTAAATATCTCTGGCAGTCTACTCAGAAGAAAATATGGCTGATCGGACCAAGATGGCCATGAATCAAAACACTGAGATTCTATTGGCTTCATGTTGTTACTGAACTTCGTGGATACTGGTAACCTGACTAGCTAGTGAGTCACTAACTTGGTTCCACCGGCCTAAAATTCACTCAATAGTGCCATAGAAATGTTCTATTTTTAGCATTTTTTTTGTGAAGGCGGGACACGATCCCCTCTCTGAGAGTACATATAGGAGAAAAATAAAAATATAACGTCCGAGACGTGGCCCGGTTTTTAGTATATAAAAATATACATGTGCTCATGATTCGTATTACATACAAGTCTTTTTGATATTATTATTTGTCTTAGAAGGCTGACTAAAAATGCGGTATGTATGTATATCAGATTTATATTTATAGACATAGATATTCGAGTAGTATTAAAACTTACGGAATGGGGAGGGGCACAGAATCGTATAGTCAAAGTGCTGGATCGCGAGATAATCCCGTGCATAAAGTACCTAGCAAGGAACGCGTTGCATCCTCAATTCCCGTTCCGCAGTTCACCAAAGAAGTCCACACTACAGTCTCCACACTCCCCACAACACTTAATGCACACTTCACACTTCAAACTTCAGTCTTTAGCTCCACAGTAGTCCACCTGCTCTGACTGCATCTGGCACAATCGGTTTTAGATATATA